TTACATAATGGGGCAGAAATTTATGCATTTAGATCTATCATCATAATGCTAGATTAGTTAACTTCTATTAAAAGCTAGTGATTTTCCCCCAGGAGACTGCTGTGTCTCAGAAATCTGAAGATCTTATGACTATTGTAGATGATACTTTCAAAAGTAACCAAACTGTTAATCTATGAAAATGGAAAAACATTCTGTCCTGAACATAACACTATTTTAACTTGGACAATAGTTATAGATGCACAGAGAGGTATATCGCTCATGTTGGTTCCATTGACAGTGCTTACAACCGTGAAATCTAAAGTTCATTATTTTACTCACAAATGCTGAAATGTTTTTCATTTTGCAACTCTTACTGGAGAGCTAAAAAGAGGCACAGGTACTCAGTAAGTCCTCAGGCGGACTATAAGCAAACTAGAATATTCAACAAGCATAGTTTATTTGCACAGATAATCAACCAAGGCTTTTTCTGGTCTACAAAACTGGGTGCTGGCTTGCCTGTGATAAGCTGTAGAGTACTATAACATGTTAGCTCATGCTTGGTGGCAACAGGTTTGTTTTCCAAGATTGTGTAATCCAAATTCCTTTTCTAAGAGATGACTTTGAGAAGCACCATTAATTGGAATAATTAATGAGCAGAGAATACTAGAGAACTAAACTTTTTTTTTTTTGCTTGTGGTAAGCTTCAAAGATTGAAAGTATCGATTTAACAAGAATGAATATGATTTTAGGAAAAGGAATTTATATTAGTGCACTAAGTTTCTGCTTACACTACAATCAGGTCAGTGTACCCAGCTGTAGCACATGACAGAGATTTTAGGAACACAGTTAGGGTCACATTTACAATACAAATCGGGAATGTGTTGCAACTGCATTCTTTGATTGTAATGTAGATGATGGTAAGGCTAATTAAACATCATCTACCGTTCACAGGAGAAACCACCAGCTGTTGCTTAAGCACAGCTTAAAAACATTTTTATACAAAACAGGTTATGACATGGTTTCACCAACCAACAAGGACTGAGATTTTTCCATGTTATAACAAGACTCAGGAATTGCTTGAGCCTCGGTTTAAATACATTCAAAATATGTTTAATACAGGTCTTGCTCTCAAGCTGCTAAGATATCCAAAAATTAATTGCATGTGACTCTTCAGATAACACTGACATAAACATTTACTGAATTTTGATCCAGATAAAATCAATTTTCCTCTGCTGATAGTTAAATGTTTGGTTAAGCTGAACAGTGTTGGGTTTTGAGACAACATTCAAGCCCCTCACATCCATTATTTGGACTTATTTTTTTCTTTTAAATAACACATATGTCCTATGCACTGCTTTCATCTGCAAATCAAAATACACCTTCTTGAGATTGCTATCATTATGTCAATTTTCAGAGAAGAAAAGTAAGGTACAGGGATGTGCTGTTACATGCCCCACATCACACAGAAGACTAGTAGCTAGGGCATAGTCCTCTGTCAGTAATTTTTCCCATCTACTCTACTGTTCCATGGAACATCTTAGTATAATAACCTTGATGAAGTTGTAGAAGAAACTGATAGTAAAGATATATCAGATATACCTGATATACCAGAGCTGAGATAATATTTTGGAGGTAAATTCCATAAATTATTATGCTGAGTCAATAAAGTCTCTAAATATTATTTAGAATTGTCACCTTTTCAGCCAAAAAAATAAAATGCTGGAACATGATTCTCAGTGGCACAGAAAGATAATATACAGCCCAGCCTGTATGTGACTGATAGAAGATTAACCTGTCAGTTTTCCAGGCAAATTTGAACAAGCATAGAGGTTTAGAACCAAATAAATGATTTGCATCAATTTGATATGAAACTTTTGAACACCTTCCACTAAGTAGTAAGAACTCTGTTTTAATCCCAGAGTCATGTACTCCTAGCAGCTTTTGGGGTAACAAAACTGTACGTAAAGATTCAACAGCCTTAGGAAGGGATAGTAGCACTAACAACACAAAATTGCTTATGGAAGACACCTTGCAATAACTGGCTATAATCTCAATGAAGCTATGTGCTTCTAAAGTGTCTCCAGCTACAGTCAGAGTACAATATAGACATTGCATTAAGTAATCTCATGAAAAAAGTAGTGGTCTTCACAATTCCCAGTCTCAGAATCTTCTCTTGTTTGGATAACTTTGAAACACATTTAGTTTTGCAGAGTTTGTTGAGTAGCAGCTCTTGCTGACAAATAGTCCAACTACATTTATGCTGTCTGTTTTTATTTCTTCTAGGGAATTGTGCTGCAGCTGCGCAATACATAAAACCTCCCGTTCAGAATTTGTGAGCAACTTGCAACTTCATTTGCAATTGAGGTCACTGAATAAGTTTTCTTCAAATGCAACCTGTGAAAGTAAAAGTGGCCAGCTGCTAAACCTAAAAATGGCCAGCTGCTAAAACTCACATTGAGGCACAGCTACAAAAGTCAATCCTTACCATCTTAAAAACAAAGAATTTACACCTCTCACTGTGCAAAGAACAGGAATCTAACAAGTTCAGTTTGAGTTCTGATGCACGCTGCTCTCTCATGCAACTTTCCACTTGGGAGGGGGAAGCTGTTTACTGGCATGAAGTTGAACTGTGTAACTTCAGAGCACAGCAGCCCTGAGCTCCATTTTATCATCTGACATCTGATGGTGCTTCCAGGTTGCCACTGAAAGCTCTGTATCTATATGCGGTCTAATCTAATTCAAGTAACAATCTTAAATGGTGTCACTTCTTAATGCCTCAGTGTAGCCCTATGTAAAATGGGGATAATTACTTTCTTCATTAAGGTCTGGCACTTATAAAACATTTGAAAGTCTTAGATGAAAAGGACTTTCCTTGCAAAATGTAATTACATTATGGCAGAGGTAAAGCATAGGCCCATGTTTCAGTATACAGTATTTAAACACAATTACTTACCTATGAAAATCAAGAATCCGTGCTATTTCGCCCTCTCTCAGCTCTTGATCTGCTTATCATTATTAATCCGATTAATACTGACTCCTTTGAATCTACTCATGTACTTCTTCAGTAAAGTGTAGAAGCAGCAAAAATACTCAACAACTCATAGTTTCAGCCCTCAGTTTGTACTATTTTTCATAGTTTTCCAGTCTGTACAAGTCCTGTTGTCACAGTTTTAGAGGGATATGTCAAGTGTAAACTTGACATTTACACAGGTGTCCCACTTGTATTTGGATACGCTTTTTGGAATGTGGGTAACATTAAAAAAATGTAATACAATGCAAAAGGGATTGCAAATTGACCATCAGCTATGACAAGCAAGGAGGTCACATGTAATTTCTAATACACCAGTCTTAAGCGTTCTGGGCTGGTGTGATCTGCCCATGGCAGTGATGGTGCTCCTTGCTTCCTACAACCTGCTGCCCTCTGTCCCTTCTCATTGCAGCAGTTACGGGAAGGGCTTTCCCACACCTGTGGAGCATCCTGGATGCTTCATGCAGTTTCAAAACAGCTTTGTACACTGCTTGTTCTCCAGCAATGTGCAATGCCACAAGAGTGGAACGGCCCCAGTGCTGTTTCTCTCTCTGCGCTGTTGGGTGAGGAATAACCCCCCCTGTGGAAGGCGAAAGTCACGCAGTGAGCAAGAGGCTGAAAGTGCTACAATGGAGAAAGGGCTGGTGGCCAGCAAGGACAGGGAGGTGATTGTCCTCCTCTACTCTGCTCTTGTGAAGCCCCATCTGGAGTACTGCATCCATGTCTGGAGCCCCTAGTACAAGAAAGACAGGGAGTTGTTGGAGAGGGCCCAGAGGAGGGCCACGAAGATGATCAGGGGACTGGAGCACTTCCCCTATGAGGACAGGCTGAGGGAGCTGGGCTTGTTCAGCGTGGAGAAAAGAAGGCTGTGGGGTGACCTCATTCCAGCCCTTCTGTACCTAAAGGGAGCCTACAAACAGGAAGGGAATCATCTCTTTGAAAGGGTAGATAACTGCAGGACAAGGGAAAATGGTTTTAAGTTGAGGGAGGGAAGATTTAGGATGGATGTCAGCGGGAAGTTCTTTACAGAGAGAGTGGTGAGGTGCTGGAACAGGCCGCCCAGAGAGGTTGTGGATGCCCTGTCCCTGGAGGTGTTCAAGGCCAGAGTGGATGGGGGCCTGGGCAGCCTGATCTAGTATTGAATGTGGAGGTTGGTGGCCCTGCATGTGGCAAGGGGACTGGAGATTCACGATCCTTGAGGTCCCTTCCAACCCTGGCCATTCTGTGAAAAAAAAAAAATAATAAAAAAAAATGCTGTGACTGAATTTGTGTGTGTGGGGAGTGGCAAGAGGTGATGCTATTAAAGCCAGACCATGAGGTATTAATAGGGAGTTATGAGAAGAAGGCAGAGAGGAGCACAGGAGCTCCCTCGTCCACTCCCGCCCGGCCTCCTTCGGCCCTTCGTTCCTCCGAAGGTGCTCGCCTCGTGCCTCGCCGTGCCCCCATCCCTTCCTCGGCCTCAGCCTCGCCCCGCTGGGGCCCCGCCGCCGCCGCGGGCCGAGACACGTGCGCGGAGGCCGCGGCCGGGCCGTCCCCTCTCCGCCACGCGCGGCGGGAGGCGGGAAAGGGGCGGGAAGGCGCGGCGGCTCTGCCCCAAACTTGGCAGAGCTGCTCTCCTTGCGAGGGCTGTTGCGGGCGGCCGCCCCCATTGGCAGCGGCCTGCGCCCTCCTCTTCCTCCCTCCTCTTCCCTTCTCCTCCTCTGGGTGGGTTTCAGCCCTCCTCTTTCGTTAGGGCGGGGGAAAATTTTATTTTTTTAAAGATTTAAAAGAAAAAAAAAGAAAAAAAAGAAAAAAAAAAGAAATCCCAAGTCGCGTCCCGACGTCTCCGGGCCCCGCGGCCGCAGCGGCCGCCCCACATTCCTGGCATTCCTGGGCCGTGACTCCCCGCGCCGCCCCAGCCCGGCCCCGGCCCCGCCGCCTCCGGCTCGCTCGCTCGCTCGCCCCCGCGGGACGGCAGTCCCCTCCCTCCCGCCCGGCCTCCTCCTGCCCGCAGCCCGCGGGCGACGGCAGCAGCTCCGGGCGTCCCGGCTCCCCGCGCTGCCGCCGGCGGCCCCAGCTGCGCCCGCCCCGCCTAAGTTCCTCGCCGTGGCCGGGCCGGGGCGGCGGGAGCGGGTCTCCCCGCAGGGAGGAAGGCGGCCGCCTTCCGGGCCGGGAGAGCCGCCTCCCGCGGGAGCGCACGAAGCCGGAGCCGCCGCCCAGCAGGTAAGGAGCCGCCGCTGAGTCCCGCCGCGCTTGGGTCCCGCCGCCTTCCGAGCCGTCCCGGGAGCGCGTTCCGCTCCGTGCTGCGGACGGCGCTTCCGCGGGGTTCGTCCCTCGCCGCGCGCTGCTCTTGCAGCTCGTCGCAGTTCGTAACCGACTAAAATAGCTCAGCTCGGGCCGGGAGCGCCGGTCGGCCAGCTGCCATGAGCCGGCTCGGACAGCCCGGCCGGCCGCGGGGTACGATATGCGGGACGCGCGGCGCTGGTGGGTGCTCACAGATCGCCGGGGTCTGTCGCCGTGCCCGCGCCTCTCCCCGCCCCGGTACCTTCGCCTTTGTTGCTGCTGCACCGCGGTGTGCCCGGGCGGGGGGCAGTGACACAGCGGCGGTGCACGGGAGGGTTCCGGGCTCGCGTGTTTGGGACGGGCTTACATAATGTACGAGTGGCGTGTGGACGGACCCTGTGCTGGCGTCTTCCTATCGACGGGGCTTTATCCGCGATTTGCATCACGTTACCACACGGTTCTATCGTGAGCATCTCCTCGGCTGTTTGTAACTTTACCGAGGTGGAAGCAAACAGAGGTCGGTAGAGGCTCTGATTCAACGCGCCAACGCGCCGCTTCCCAGAAAGTTTTCTGGGATTTCTGGCTGGTTGCCTGAAACCATGGCTGAAAGAAATAGTTCTGCGAGAAGCTGCTGCTTTCTTTTCCTTCGAGCTCTTAACTACTGCTGGCTCCGGCTATTCCAGAAACACTGTTACATGCTGAAGTTCCTCGGAGCTGGGGAAATCTGACAGTGAAATGGCAGATGGCTCCCCCTACCCCTGAGTGCCACCTGCAGCTTCTCCATCGCGGGGAAGGCACTTTGGGGACCACTTGTCAGGCTGTGAAGTTCAGTCCACAGGGATTACACAGCTTGCACCCTCTGGAAGGTCAGTCACCGGCAAGCAGCGCTCTTTATATGGTGTAACATTCTGCATGTTGGTATCAGAGCAATGCGAATAAGCTGTAGGCCCTGCTCTGTTCCTGACAGCACTTCTCTGAACTTTCTGTGGGAGGCTGTGCCAGAGCGGCTCGCAGGCAGAGGGCACTTGTGTGTGTGCAATGGCTGGCAATAGGAACATTGAGAGTGCTGCCTGCTTGGCCCCATCAGCAGGAGGGTGCTTCCCAGGCCTGTGGCCATCTGTTCCTCTGTGGCACCTGTGTGCGCTGGGCTTGAGGGCATGGCTGTTTGGCCTCAGGGTGTCATGGTGCAGGCTGGGACCGCAGGGCCACTCTATAAGCTGCTCTGTCTACATTAGTGAATGGTTTTAAGCGGGTCTGATAACCATTTCGGTGATAGCAAAAGAAATAGTTCTGTAGCAGAGTTAATTAGCAATTCATGTTGATTGCCTTGACTGCTCTCCTGGCCATCCTTGTCCAGAGCGTCAGTTACTTAGTACAGTGTAACAGTGGATTGGCTTCCTGTCAAGTGGATCTGCTCCCATGCACTTAGCTTGCTTAGATTGCTTTGGCTGCCAGTGGCTCCTCCAATCTTGAAGAAAGTATTTGACATTTTTTAAAAAATATTTGCTTACATACTTCTGGTAACTATGCTGTTTCTTTGTTCTAAGTCTGTTTGATGCCACTATAGCAAAAGGGGTTAGTCTTCACTTGTTTCTCCTCGTACTCAGTAAGGCTGTGTTTGATTCTGTGTTTCTGATGTAACTGCTGTTGGTGAGCAGATTGTAGCAAGTTCTCAGTCGGTCACAGGTTTTAGTCCTTCAGGGACTCACCCACATGCTTAAATTCATATTCATGAATACCGCTTTGGAAACTGTGGAATTTCTTTATTATTAATAGTTACAAATGTATGCAAGAATTAGGCTATAATATTTAGTACACAATATATTTGTGCCTGTGTGTTCAGTTCAATTATAAGATTTTGATAAAGGCTGAATTTTCATGCCAAAAAGTCTCTTTGATGTCCAGGTCCACCGCAAGTACAACACACCTTGGCCTAATTCCTTCTGGAGCTCCAGAAGAGGAGATCTTGGTTTCATGTGGTGGCACTGCAGTTATTGCTCCTCGTGTGAGGAATCCATGCTTGAGGTGCTCTGAAACTTTGTCTGGACAAGCTCTGTTCCATCATGGTGTGTTTGCCCTTCTCTGCCTAATGCTGGAGCCGTCAAAACTCATGGGGTGCTTTTGGCTGCCTATGTCTGTGCTTCTATGTGTGCCCAGAGCAAGCATCATTTGTCCACCCATGCTGCAGATGCCCAGATTCCACACAGGGCTGCTGCACAGCCTGCTGTTTTCCAGCATACTCTGAGCTTATAAGGTTGCCTACAGATATAGGAACGGGCCTTAAGGCAGGAGCTGTCCCCCATCACTCTACCCCTGTCCCCTTTGCCTTGGCCAGCATGGGGGGTTTGAGGAGGACTCTGGAGTGTGAAAGATTTAAGTTGTGTATTAAAGTGTCAGAAGGTTGGCATTAGGTTTTAGTAAGGTTATGGGAGTTTTCCTGATTGGTCTTCATCTCTTTCATGAAATAGTCTGATTCTGATGGGTTAATATGATGCCTTCTTTTAGTTTTTGCACATTATTGTGGCTGAGTTACTTTCCTTTTCAATCAATGAGAATGATTTTCACTAAATCTGCTGTTGTTTTGTTTGCTGACAGTAGAACATTTTTTAAGCAAACTTTATGAATTCAAGGGTGGTTTTATGATAAGAATCAAAGGAGTAGAAATATTTTAATTTCTTCAATTGTCAGTGTATACTATAATGAAATGTGGCCTCATCTTAGGGAGCTGGTGGAGATGGTGCTCAAACTGAAGGTGCTGCCACTATGCAGATGCAGTGGCTTACCTCCTGAGCAATACTGATTGGTATTTTGGCTTTAGATACGAAGAAGAGTTAAAAAAAAAAGGCTTCAAGATTGCTCTTCAAAGTATTTCTCAAGGTCAGATCTGTCAATATTGAAAGTGTCACCTGGAATTACGGGCTCAAGACTGATGCGGCGCAAAGTGTGTACATAAAAGGAATGTGCATACTTGTTTTAAAATGTATTTTCTACTGTCGTTGTTGTTAGTTAGCAGTCATATATATTATAATCAACTACAGATGAACAACTTTTTCAAAAGTCGTGACTACAAATTTATCACTGATGAAGCATAAATTTAACTAGTGCTAAGAAGAATTTCTAAACAGAAGATTTTTTTTGAGGGAATCAGGTGTGAGAAATGTTGAATGGGTGATATGCTGTCCTACAGCCCACTGTGATGTTTTGTAGCATGGGCTGTTGCTAATCAAAAGTTTAGAGACCGACCTTTGTTCAGTGCCAGGCTTTTGGAAAGTGCAACCTCGCTTCCTAGTTCTCAAAGACTGCTCCTTTCCTGTTTATTTCACCAGTACCTTGCTGAAATGATGCCATTTATGACTAAGAACTTTTTTTTTTTTAACTTTTTTTTGGTCTGTAAACCTTAAATTACCAGGTGATGTAGAAACAACAGGGGGTGGTGAATGTGTATGTTAGTGATCTAATAAACTGGGTGAATGATGCTGTGCCAAAACTTGCTAATGATGCAAAAGTATTTGGATTAGACAAGGTTGAAGAAGACTGAGAAATTGTAAAGGGAATCCAAGAAAGCTGGGTAAAAGGGAAGCATAGCAGATGATGTTGATAAATTCAAGAATATGCATGTTGGAGGGAATAATCACATTACTCGTTCATGTTACTGGATTGTAAACTAACTGTATTAAGGTGTATTAAGGTAAGAAGACTTCAGCAGTGTTTCATTTGTGCACCTGTGCACCTTCTTAATGCTTAGCACCAGGGAGAAGAAAACAGTGTTGTGAAATGCTATTGCAGTAACACAGAGGAGATTATTAAACATGCTCAAATCCGCCTGGAATACTAAATTTGTGATCCCCTATCAAAGAAGAGAGATTCGAAAATGCTCATACGAAGTTGAACTGAAAATGTTAGCGTAGTTTCATTTTGAAGGGATCAATAAGAGAAGGTAGGATAATACATGTGCAAAATAATGATTGTCTATTAGTAAGTGCTAAGTACCCTTTGGTTTAGTAGGCTGTCTAGATGTAGGGAGTAGTTTGCAAGGCAACATATATAATGCTGCTAAATCACTATTTTTTTAATTTATTTTTTAAAGCAAATAATGGTAATACTTGCTGTCAAAGGAAATCATACAAACCAGCAGCCTGGTAGGATGAAAAAGGAAAGTGACCTGCTTATGGGGATAAAAGGAATGGTTCCAGCTGTCAGCTGAAGGGATGCTCACCACGGTGCTCTAGGCCATAAATCAAGCACAATCTGACAGGTATTAAGGAATTTCCCTTATAACAGATCATGCTACAAGTGTCTGCTGTGATGCTTGTTATGTTTTCTTGAGGGGATGTAGGGTAAGCTGCTGTTAGAAGCAGGGCAGTGGCTGGTGATCGGGCCGACTGTAACAGTTCCTGTAATCCACTGCAGTGGTTCTATTTAATGCAGGTGGAATTGAAATATTGTGGTTTTTTATATGCTCAGGCTTCACAGAAAGTTTATTTATTACAAATTGATTTTCTGACTTCCCCACTGAAAGGGCCAAAGCTTCTTTGAAGACGGCATTGCACTGCTTTTCTGAGCTTAGAAAATGAAGTGAATGGAAATGTCTGTGTTTTCATGCACGTACATCAAAGTGATGCCTTTCTTTGGGACTTCCTTGAGTCCGAGCACTCGCCTTGGCTTAGCTGGATGTGTAGGAGAAGCGTGAGGTTACCAGCAGTTGCTTTAACTTGTGTTTGTGCAATTCTTTCATGTTTTTACAACTGAGAAAATAGTTTGCATTCCTTGGGTTTTTTAGATTAGCTCTTATCATAGAACTCCCTCCTTTGAGAGGAGGCATTCACTACCTTGTAGATAAAATGCCTTTAGCTTTTTATTGATGATGATAATTAAGCTGGGCTTTTGGACAAGCCTGGGCAAAATCAGAGGGCTTTGCCAATCAGAGATTCAGCTCATAG